TTTGCGTATGTGGTCTTGTTGGGCAAACGATGAAGAAAACATGGCAATGTTATGAGTTTGGAGGCGATGGGAGACCTTTCTGAAGACAGCGGGCAAAACCGCTTGTCTCACGTATTCATGGCCCCAGTGTGTTGTGTTTGAACGATGCACGCTGGTTTTGGATCTCGCTGGTACTTTATGATGAGAAGGGAGGTCTGGAGCCGAGAGATCGAGAATAACGGAACACAGCTGACGGGCGGATCGACCACCGGACCTGGTAAACACACTGTCGCATGTTGTGTGTCAGAGTCCAGTCTTGTGTGAAGGCCAATGTCAACGCTAACTGTTGCAGGAGGCTGAGATAGGAAGCCAGACATCCAGAGTTAAAGCAGGTGGGCCAGATATGGGAAATGACACCGCGCTGCTCCAAATTCATCCGCTTGAGCGAAGGAGGATATAGCCCCTCAGGCAAAATATCCTCCGAGAGAAAAACAGTGTTTGGTTTACGTTGTTTTAAACAAAGTAGCCTGTATTAACACACCGTTTTACTACCCTGCACCCGACTCTTAAACAGTGCCAGCGTCGGTTGCGAGCAGCGTTATTGTTTTTGTTTCATCACTTTGCAGAAATGTCCTTCACAATGGAGGATAATTTGGAGTCGGGGTGGGTAGCCGTCCGCCCGAATGCGTTTGAAGAGAAGGAGAAGCATAAATTTGTTTTTATCGTCGCCTGGAATGAAGTGGAGGGTAGATTTGCCATTACGTGTCATAACAGGACGGTGCAGAGGAGAAGCTTTGGTAGGGACCCTCCGGTGGTGGAGGTAACCAGCCTGGATGGAGACAAAACAAAATGGCCCGAAAGTCCCGTCAGGGATAAAGTATCTAGGAGCCCCAGCAAAGGAGCCAGAGAGGGAGTGGATAAAGGCTGCAGCCCTAAAACCAAGTCCGCCATGGCAACAAAACCAAGTCCTGTCAAAATTCAAACTGTGATTAAATCTGCAGCATCTCCAGTCAGTCCGGACATTGAGGTGTTAAAATCACTAAGAGAGGACCAACTGTCCCCGTCACTGGACAGCTTGGACCTGGAGGATCTGGATAGTCTGAGCAGGGAGGACTGCAGCTGGGCCGGACTCTTCTCCTTCCAGGACCTCCGGGCGATCCACCAGCAGCTGTGCTCGGTGAACTCGGATCTGGAGCCCTGCCTCCCGGTGTTTCCGGAGGAACCGGCCGGGATGTGGACGGTGCTGTTTGGCTCGGCGGGAGTACCTGAGACTGAAATGGATGAGCTTTGCTACAGTTTACAGGTGTACCTAGGCCACGCGCTCGATACGTGCGGGTGGAAGATCCTTTCGCAGGTGCTGTTCACGGAAAACGACGACCCAGATGAGTACTATGAGAGCTTGAGTGAGCTGAGGCAGTCAGGGTACGAAGAGGCGCTCAACCGTGCAACAAAACATCTGCAAGAGGTGAGAGTTTTTGTGGTGCCCCCACAGCATCTCCATGATTACATTGGTTTATTATTAACACAGTCTGTAACTCACATTCACACCCTTTCCAGACCACACTGGACTGCTTGAGGCTGTGTCATACCAAAGTGATAGTGAGGAAGTGTGATGCACTAGCCATTAATCAGAGGTAGATTGCACCCGGTTAAGTACAAAGCAATGTAATATACAAAAAAGCTCATTAATCAAATCATCTAATCAAAATGTGTGAACTATGATACCAGCAACAGAAGCATATTTTAAGCATCACTTTAACACACAAAATATCTGGTAAACTGAGTGTAGATGTGTGGATCATCCAGTAGATCACACTTATAATACATTAGTGGCTATCCAGTAACAAGACCTCCTGAAGGTTTAATTGCTCTTTGTGTCAGTTAACCTCTTTTGGTATATGTGAGCCAAGTAGGATCAGCATGTGAATTATCATGTGATAAACCAAACATTAAGAGCTTAAATGGTACCCAACACATACATTAGGTACAAGCATTAAATTAATTGAGGTCTGTGAGAAAAAAAGGCCACCAGCAGTTGCAGTATGAAACAAGTCAACCCACAACCAAACCTTCACAGGCACAAGACAGAAACATACAGACATGTCCTTTAACGATTGCACAGCTGACAGGGAAAGTCTTTCCATTATTCCAATCTCATTGGATAGCTAGTGTGCGATGAAAGGATTTGTAAAATTAGATTGTAACTGTAAGTAAGTTATATTATATCCTCTCTGCTGCTTACACAGCTGAGAAAGTCAAGTGCACACGCACACAGACACACACACACACACACACTTTAAGAAATTCTTTCTGGTTAAAATTAACCTGTTGATGTAATTTGCACAGTCATCTTCTGTGACATTGCTGTTCACGGTGAGAGGTTACTACCTAGCCCCATCTCATCCACTGCATGGAAGACGGACAGAGAAGTGGCTGTGCCCTGCTCTTTAAAGGAGGTGGCGCAGTTAAGCAGACGTGGAGTTTCCAAACTAACCAGTTTGTCTTCATCCTTGAAGTCTTTTCTCCTCTAAAACCCCCAAATACTATTTGAAAACTCTTCTGATAAAGCATAAATCTCACCTTGTGTCCCTTGTGTACTTTTTCTCCTCGGGTGTCTTATTTGCCTCAGTGTAAGCCAAGCTGTAATGGGCTCAAAGGTGAGATTGATTTTTTTTTTGTTTCAATCAGCATTTTTTGGTTTTGCAAGAGAAAAGACTAAAAATGAAGACTAACTGGTTGTCTTATCAAATCTATGTCTGGTCCCCACATCTGTTAAAGAGCAGCATATAGCTGCTTCCATGAACTCTGGGACGGTCTCCCACCTTGTTGTTACCATGACTTAACCAACTATCAACAGTTACAGTTACAGTCAGTTAGTTTTTATTATTCAGACTCCATCACCACTTTTGTCTGCCTTTCTCTGTTATTTAATTATGAAGATTTGAGTAACACCATATTTCAAAATGTAATGATAATGAGTCACTTAATGTGATATCAGATTTATTTTTTTGTCTCTTTTGTTCTGATTATACTGTCAGAAACTGACAAATCTATGTATCAGGAAATAATTTCGTCATAAATACTGATAATACTATAATATATAAATAATACTATAATATTTTTAATTGAAAGTGGCACATATATTAAACAGATCAGCATTAAACTATTAAAGAATACACACACACCCTGTAGTTTTAGTGCGTACCAGTAAAAAAAAACATTAGTCTGGAAAGCTAAAAAGAACAACAACAAACAAGAAAATAAAACTGTGATATTTTGAGTAAATGTAGTTAAAACCATAGGCTGTATATGGTTAAAGCTTGTCACTGTGTCAAATAACATACAGTGTAGAATAGCATGGTTCCAAACCAGCCACTGGTGTAATCAGACGTGATTACCACACAGAACATGTTTTCAATGTTGTTAGTAATACAACAGATGTGTGGCAGTGAACATGAGTTGTACAAGCATTTAATAAATAGTTATAAAATATGTCTTGAAGCTATAATAAGAATAAACATTTCTGTGAAACACTTCTGTATGTTTATAATATAATAAAACGCTAGAACCAATACTTAAAATTTCAACTTAGTTCTGCTTTATGTCTTTGATTTGACACAGTGGAGACATAATCCAGACACCATACACGATCCAGACCTGCTCCTCCTCTTACACACTAGTAGCAGCTAGTGATTGATTAACTGCTCTTAATATAAACAGACATTACTTTGATACTCACAGGCTCTCACATTGTCCTACTAATCAATTGTGTTAGTTTAATGTAGCCTTGACTTATTGAGCCAGATAGTGCAAGAAGTCCTCTGAGAGAGCAGATGAGACAGAGAGCATTAATGAAAGATTTTGCCATTATTGGACAGCTTTACTCCTGACCATTATATCGGCTGATACATCAACTTTGAGCGTTAACTGTATTTATAGAATAAATATCTTTCAAATACATGTAGTATCGGCCAATGCCATTTTAGTTTAACAATTCTCAAATACACACATATTCGTTTCGAATGCTGCATTCTGACATCCAGCATGACCTCAATCATTTCATATAATTAAAATAATATCTGCAATTTCTATGCTGAAATAAAAAAAACAACAACTTTATTTTAAGCTTACACTGTTCATAACTCCAGCAGTAAAGCAAGGTCACAATATAATAAATGTAATATCTGCTTGTATGTTTACTGTCTTTGCAAAAGTAAGAACGAGTCAGGAGACTACATCCATTTATACTGATTTGTTTATATGATTTTCTGGCTGAGGTGTTTCCTCTCTGTTCTGATTTTGGCAGTGAAAAAAAATCTGAGTAGCATAGAGGAATTACCCACATGTCATTCCTCCCAGTCAGTCCCACACCCACTCCTATTTTCACACACCACAAACAGACAGAAAACCAGACACAGGAAGCTTTGTGTTATTGCCCTTCCTGAGCAAGGAAAAATCAGCCCAAGATAATTTGCACCAATTGTTTCAATAAATGTTTGACACCCTATGGGATTTCCAGTTTCCTTAAAGGTGCATTCATCCCGACGATGGAGGAGGAGCTACTGATCTTATTGAGCTCTTTATCATTGCAAATGCTGTGTACTTTATTCAAACACAGTCAAAGCTTGTTGGGTCATAGGATCTTACACACACACACACACACACACACACACACACACACTGGCCTATTGATCCTCCCACTCCATTTAAGGGGCTGAGTTAATGGCTATTTCAGTGGTTGCTGGTAGCCTATAGGATTGTTCAGTCTGGCAAAAATGTGTCTGTATTGATCTTATTCCCAGCAGCAGAATAGACTCTGCTCACTCAGCCATGCTCTGTGCACTCAGATATACTCCTATTATTTACAGTGTCACAAAGCATCGTCTCAGCGTGAGGTACAAGTTTCAATTCACCGCCGAGTGGCAATAAAAGAGGTGTTTAAGTATGTTCTTCCTACTTTTGTATACTTGTGATGGTTTAACTGACAGTGTTATCACTCTGTTATATGGTGTTACTTTGTTTGAAACACAAACAAACAAACAACAAACATCTGCAGATAACACTACAGCCACTTATATATTTGCCCTCTGCTCAATGTGCACTTTTTCTGATTTGTGCATAACTTATTTATTCTATTCTATTCAATTCATTTCAAGGGGGCTTTATTGGCATGGGAAAAATATATGTATACACAGATAAAACATAACTTGAAATAAAACTAAAAATAACAAAATTAATAGTAGACTTGTAATTAAAATACAAAAACAAGTAAGTGAAATAAATTATATAATATAAATGTAATATATATATTAATGTGCTTTCAACTGGTTTAAGTTTTTTGTTTGTAGTTTTCCAACTACATTTGATATGGATAATTGCAAATGCCATATTACCAAGGTCTTACAAAGAACTTAAAGGGGCTATAAATATTGATATGTTCTGATATATATCTGTATATATAGTTGTTTATATATAGAATTTATCTATGTGTGCATGTGATTCAGCTGCTGGAGAGGCACAAGACAATGGACAGTATGGTGGAGCTGTTGGAGCTGTATGAGGAGGAAGATCAGGCATATGGAGGCCTGCTGGAGGCCTCCACACAGCTGTACCAGTACCTGCTGCAGCCTTTCAGAGACATGAGGGAACTAGCAATGCTACGCCGGCAACAAATCAAGGTAACAATTTGCACCAATTAAAGTTTGCAGTTTATGTATTGTGCATATACATGTGTGGACAAGCATTAAGAGGCAGCTCCACAGAAAATTAGTGAATCATCTTCCATATTTTGTGTGGTAGTTTCATAAAACCTAGGTTCTTACAGAGTTTGGTCCCAAATCTGTTGACCCAGTAATTTGCTGAAATCTCTTTGGCAGTCTACCAAGCCTTCTAAACTTTTTGAGTCACAGTTCTTCACTGACAAGTACACAGTATACCCACATACACACACAGATGGTCACTAGATTTCTGTAGTGAAAAATGGTGTATTGTAATGGTGAAATCCAGCTATGAGAAAATGACAAATAAGACTTAAAGGTTTGTGCTTTTTGTGTTGTTTCTGGTTCCCTATTTTTATAGACCATGTGAACCATTTTTTCTGACTCCGGGGGGTTATTGAGATGCTATGCTTAACTAGTGTATTTGGGAAGCGCTCTACTATGCAGATGAGCCTAGATTCAGTGATGTATTTCTGTATTTCTCTATAGACACCAACATGGAACAGTCATAAAACACAATGGATGGTCACAGGAAATTCTCATGTCTCTTTAAATAGGGTCTGCTCTGTACAAGTGTGTATGTGTGTATGTTTGACTGTGATGTATTATGCAAGATGAATTGTCTGGTATATTCTGATCAGATGTCTTATGGTTATTCAAGCAATGGTAGGGTGGTGAGATGTATTTAATCGCAAAGAGAAGATGGAGGCTAGTGAATGGATAAATGGTGGAAAGGCTCTGTTCAATTATTGCAGTGCTGATGGCACATTTATATTTAGCTCACTGACTCACACACAGCACATCAGTATAAAAAAACGCCAGTATCACATTACTCCATACATAACATCCATCAATAAAGATGCAATCATTTACACACATATATGCACACACACAGCTTCCCCCAACCTTGGATGGAAAAACACCTTCCGGTCAGTTTTGTCCTTTTCCACATTATCTGAAACATTTGCGGGATGTGGCAGTTGGGGGTTGAGTGACATACTGTGAGCTGGAATGGAGCCCCGTGGATCTCTAATTTCCTGAAGTCTCACAGAGACATGAATAACTCATGTTGTGTGTGGCCCTATAGGTTTACTGCAGGTACAGGTTGATGCTGACACACTCAGATCAACAGGCATGCAGCAGAAATTCACAAGAGAGCAAAGTTAGAGAAGTTTCCAGTTTAGGCGTGGCTGAATAAATGTTTTCAATTCCAGTTCCTGCAGTGTCTCACCTCCCATGAATACAAGAATGTAAGCAGCGTGTTATATATGTCTTTTATTAAGCAGAGTGAGGGAACAGAGGGAAATAATCATTTGTTTCCAGTGTCATTTCATATTAAGGTATTTTGACCAAAGTTTATATCATTACTTCTTTTTGGAATGAAAACTATTTTAAGACTGTGATAAATTAAATGTCTTGTTTAAGAGGATTAAGAGAGGACAAAATTCTGACACATTAACATCTGAAACAAATGAAGAAGTGTATGTTGCCAATCAAATGGGTGCTATAATCAAACTGAAGATACATTTATTGGCTAATTTACTGAAAGAATGCTCTAGTATGGCCTTTACTTCCCACATGGCAGTACGTTAGACATCCTTTCTGATCTGTGGAGTAGTATTTAGATTCTAGACTAGAAAACCTGCATACTGTAACTCTCACTTTTCTCTTTCAAAACAATAAACTATTAACAACGCTGACCCACTACATAAGTACAGTAATAGGTCAGAGCTGACAGTCAGCTGTGTTTGCTTTTACCTCAAATCACTTCTTTACTGCTCAGATGTTTTTGGCAGAGCCAACTCTCTACCTTCCTGTCTCTGTACTGTGCACTCTTTAGTTTTTATTTTTACTGCAGCACATTAAGTCACTCACAAATATGTCAGCACAAGGAATCTCTTAAAGGCTTTGCCAGAAAGAAGGACGAAGTAGTGGCAAAACTTGCAGGTCCTACCGAGATTTGAACTCGGATCGCTGGATTCAGAGTCCAGAGTGCT